AAAAGGATGAATTAATTTATATAAATTATTTTGTAATTCGTCTGCATTTTTACACATTTATCTCTCGCATCGGAATTAGATTTTATATTTTCATTGTTTTGAATTTCTATTTTTTACTCTCCGTAACGCTATGTCGACACTTTACATTCACTCCAATCGGTATTTAGATGTATTCCGTTCGACATCGTGCACACGCCGAACAGGTGAATAAATATACAGGTATTTGTTTTCTACACACATAAATCCGTTCAACGAGCTCAAATGGATTGGAATCGTTTATTTTTTAAATCTCCTAGTTGTTTCGTCATAGGTTCTACTGCGTAGTTATCCTGCATGGGAAGGAAATTGAAATAATTTTCTTACCACAACTTAAACGTTGTTAGTATACATGTATATATAATACGAATGTTTGCGCTCGTGTCTACTACTCGAAATAAAAATATTCACAAAACCTTTTAAAATATACAACGCATCGTTCATTTATTTTTATTTTTTCATACTTACACGGGTGTACATGTCCTATTTCTTTTGTTTACCAGGTGACACGTATGTAATGTAGTAAAATACTCCTGCATAAAAAATAAAAAAGACGAAATGCGTAATTTTTACGTCGAAATGATCCATGATTCCGACATTCAGGTGGTACCAAAAAAAAAATTACCGTGCAACCCTACAGCTTAATTTACTGCGGTACACGTAGTTGATGACTACGTTTTCAGCCGTGTATTCGTGCTGATTTCCCGTACTTATGTATACCTACGGTTAGCTATTTTTGATCCTCTTGGATATTGACTGCTCGGCGAAACGAATTGTCACCGTTGATCGAGAACACTGGACCTCGATTTGTTCGGGACCAGTGATCGATATTTTACCTGCACGAATACTGGTCGATTCTTATTTTCACTCAACGACAATATCGTTTTGCTGAACAACATGCGTCGAAAACCTTTTTCAGCCATTCCATAGAATTTATGGCCACGTTCATATATTTGTTCAACCCTTTTGTTTGCGCCATGTGTCAAACATAGGTGGTGCTGAAAATACGCTGAACATTATTGGTTTAAGAATAACATTATACGTTTATTGTTGTTATTATTATTATTATTATGTTCTATTAATTAGAGTTATTGACGGCATATTTTCTTTTTTTTTTTTTGATTTATACTCTGTTGATTTTTTTTGTTATCAATTTAAACTAATGCGTACCTACGTAATAAATTATTAAAATACCCCGTACGTCGTTCAAATGCTATAAGAATAATTTATTTATGTTAAAACACACAACATAATACATCGACATAATTTTTTCAACATATCTATGGTTAAAACCATATCCATTAATTTGCGTTCATTATTATTTTCTCATAAAATTAATCTGTATCGAAAAAGTTATTCAAATTTCAACATAATGTTTTACTTTATTATAATAATTTCTAGTAAGAATATAAAATATATACAGATTTATAACATTATTTAAAATTATTACATAATTATTGATTGATTAATTTGATTAATTTTTATTTTTTAGTTTGCGATGCGAAGGATCAAAATGTTAAAGTAAATATAGCAAATTATTTTTAAAGGTGAGAAATATTTTTTTTACTTAGATCAAAACTATTAACAAATTTTTTTCTTATAGACATTTAAAATGTTGTTTAGTAAATCTCTTCTCTTTATTTATTTATTTTTTTTAAGAAAATATTCATACTTGATATAGGATTTATTCAAATAAAATTTACAAAAAATATGTTTAATAAGTATTAGCTTATAAAATCGTATTTTTTTTACCTTACATTTAAAATATTCTGATTAATTTGTTTAATACTATATAAATATTTCTGAAAACTTTGACAGTGACATATAAATAATTTATATGTAATCAATTATTGTACGTTAGTAATTGGATGATTTTATGTGAATATTGATGTCTTGATTTGTTTATTTTTTTTTTAATGTCGACTAGTTTAGTACTCTTTTTTTGTTAGCGTAGCATCGTTAAACGAATCGCATAAATAACTGACTCACATAAATAAATACGAAATATAGCACAAACAAGAGATCGACCATTGAACCAAAGCTTCGACAACCGTCAATGTTATAAATATGTTACCGTGTGATTAATATTACCGATACCCTTAGAACTGATTAACTGGATTTTCGAGAGTCGTTTAACACAGGCCCGTTATACTAGTACGATGAAATGCATAGGTGATTAAACACGACGGATCAGCTGAAATAAATTGATTGCGAACCATTAAAATAATATCAACATTTTGCGCGTTTGTATGCTTTTTTTTAGGGGAGGGATAATAAAAATAAACGAGTCCTATCATTTCAATGTTTGTGTTATCAAGCCTTTTCAATTCACTATTGTAGTTTTGATTTCGCAAAAATACTACGCCATCCTGTTCGAACCGTTAAAAAATTATTGAACGCGGTATTCCATTTTCAATACCCGTGTGACTGTAACTATCACATAATTCGTCTTGTTTTTCTATCGCCCCGTGTAAACACGCACTAAACTTTGGTGGAATAGTTATTTCCAATCACCCGATCGATACCATCTGTTACCGGCTGGTGTTGGAAATGTTGACATTTTGTCTACGGCCAATTTAATTTCAAATTACATTAGCGGTAAATGGGTAAGCAAAAAGTTTAGCCATTTAGCTGAATAAGGGATCAAGTGTTAAAAATGTACAGTGTCAGAAGCATTGTTATCTAGTGACCTGTGCAGGAGGAGAAATTTTGGAATTGAATAATCGGCTGACCCGGAAAACGGATAAGCGTATATTGTTCCTCTTATTATTCAACTCGTTGCATGGTGTTATGCCAATAGACAACGAGGGCAAGTCTACAGAATTCCCGAAGAAATCTACGGTCGTGAGCTTGAATGAAGACAGGTTAGAAAACGGATGATTGTCTTTCCTCTTATTTTTATCATTGAATTTGTTTGACAATTTTTTAAGCGTTTAATTCGTATTTCTGTGCCGAAATATTCGACGAAATATTTACAACCAACAATGTTCAAACAGTTAACGTGAATCGGATTATTTTGTAAAGTTTACCGATTATTCGCTAGAATGAGGAGTTAAAATAGTCGTTCCGTCGATAAGTACTTTTACAACCATTCTCGATTAATTCATAAGATCTCAAACTTTCCAGAGCGTTAAATTTGATAATTTTATGGTCAAAAATTTCAATACTCTTCTTCGGAGTGGCCATTCGTTCAAATGTGGTTAAATGTTCTTAAAGGAATTACACAGTTTTATTACTGAATTTAATAGAGACGTTTTAATTATGTCACTTTAAAAGGAAACGATAAAATGAATTGTAAAGATATAAAAATAACGAGTGTTCCCATTTGGGTCTTAGTACTGTTATTATTATTTGATAGTCTCTCGTGAGCTATGATTGATAGCGATTTCGAAGTCTTAAGTAACTATGATTAATTTAGTGGTTATAATGAATAGGATGTCAATAATAAGCATAATATCATTAATAAAAATGAATATCTTATCAATTCAAATAACCATCACTATGTTATGGAATAATTATAAATAAAAACAAATCAAAAATGCAAATAAAATACATATGTCGAACTTAATTTATTTTATAATTTATATATATAATATTTAAAAGGACATTCAATTAGTCATTATATATTATAGTTAGAAAATTAATATTTACAGTGGACATATTATTATGTCGTAAGCTTGTATAGTATATGTAACTGCCTTAAAAGGAATACAATTTGACATTACAATGTACAAAAACAAAAAATAAAATACAACATCCAAATGGTATTCATCTTTTATATATCAGGAACTAGTGCATGATAATTTTCTCGTGTATAGTTTAAAAATGACGTTATCGTATTGTTTTTCAATAAAAAAACATAATAGTTTTCTTTTACCGAGAAAATATTCATTTTGAAATTTCCATTAATACACGTTCCTTTGAGCCCCTTTTCTGTAAATTATAATTTACCGTACCCGTTACTTGACTCATAATACAATTTAGTATTTTTTTTAATAAATATTCGATGATGTCATTTTCAAACAATACATTTCATACGGTATTATAATAGTTTTACTAAATATAACCATCAACAAAATATGTTATTTCACAAAACATTTTGATAACACGTATTTATATATTTATAAATATATATAAATCATTATTATAATATAATATATAATAATTATAATAATAATTCTATAAACGTTCAAAAGAACAAAATTGTACAAAGGAAACTACATATTACATGGTAAATATATTATATTGAGATGCATTTTTACAGGTTTTATTTTTCATTTAGCTTTTAATTATGTTTTTTACTATAGTATAATATTAATATAATTTTAAAATTTATAAGGTATCTTATATATAAGGTATCTAATAATGTCACTGATATTGATTTCATTATTTAAATATAAAATTAAAATAAGACGTTTATATTCAAAAATTTGAAAAACAGTTTATTTATGTATTCATATAATGTGAAACAAAAAAGTAGTCTTAATGTAAAAAAAAAAATTATATATACAATATTGATGGTAAGATAAGTTTTTATTGATTTTTATTTAAAGGATTTTATGGTTATTTTTTTTTTTTGTTAAAAGAAATAAGTGTAACCCTGTACAAAGTAACTTATGTGCGATAATTATAACGGAATTTCAATTTTACAAAATAATAGATACTTTTAATTCAGTTTTTTAAAATAATATTGTTTAAATATTGTATTTTATCATATTTGATATATTATAGACACAAACAAATATAATGGTAACCATACTAATAATTTTAAGTATATAAATGTAAGGTAAATAAGTTAATAATATAGTAATTCACTAAACTATAAGTAATAATTTCAATTTTTTTATTTCTTTATTCTGATAAATTATAAACAAAATTAATAAAAAACATTTATATAAATGTTTAACAATAATATTATAATTATACTTTTTACAAAGATTAAAGTACATAATTGTTAAAATGAATTATTATTACCAAAACAATTATATTATTTTCCCTTATCTAACGGATATAACCATTAGCGGTAATGCAACAAACCATAGCATCACTTCAATTCCTGAAGCCGTGGATTTCCGACGTGATATGGCAGCCATAGTATCACCTGTAATTAAAGAATATAATTTATAACGTGGATCATTCTAATTTAACATGCATAGTAAGAATTTTTAAGTTTAAGGATGAAAATCCACAATGAATTTCAAAAAAAAATTATCAGTTTGAATCAGGGACTGGAACTGTTTAAATTTATCGGAATCGGTTCCGGTACTGGTTCTCAGAAAATAAAATAGCTGTTCCGGTTCGGTTCCGGTTGTATGATGAAAATTTATAAAGGTACAGATTCCAGATAATTTCGGGACCGGTTCCTGTTATCATTAAAATATAATATTATTTCTTATTAATAATAAAAAAAAAAAAAGTGAATATACTATAATATACCCTTGCCACTTGTTAGTGTAGTATAGTAGTAAATGAAAAATTATTTTAATATCTATTGCTGACAATCAACAACGTTGCTCCCTACTGATAAAAAATCTGTTATAACTGGTAAAACTAAATCGTTATGTATCAGAATTTAGAAGATAATAAAGTTTTAAATTAAAAATTGCATACGATAAATAGGTTAAAAATAATTAAATTATAAAAAATAGCCTTCACTCCATAGGAGCAGTAGTTAAAAAATATTAAGAATATTCTAAATAATACAATAAACTATGAACTACAATTTACGCTAGCGGGTAGTGTGTCTACCCTATTAATATCATCGCTTTATTTGGAAGATAATATAGATTCCAATTATGGTATATACTGAGAAAAACATTTCTATATAATGTTATTTTGTGATCAATATACACGTAATAAACACTTCAAAAATATAATTTTAAATAGGTAAAGAATAAGAATAATAACTTTGTATAGCTCTAGGTATAAACATAATAAGAATGGATCCCTGATTATTTATAAACAAAGTAGTAACTAAAAATAATCTATGCTAAATAAAACTATTTAATTTTAGAACCTAAAAGAACCTTTATAATTTAAAAATTCCGGTTCGGTTCCGATACTTCATTTATCAAAATAAAGGTTTCGGTTCCGGTATCGGTTCCTATTATTTAAAAGAATCCGGTTCCAGAATCGGTTCTTTTCGGTTCGGTTCCTGTCCCTGGTTTGAATCCTTTGAACGTTCTTTAAAGTAATCTAATTAAAATTGTATTTCGTTATATAATTATAAAAAATAACTATATTTTTATTTAAAATAAAATTAAAACACACATCAATTGCAGTGGTCATCATTATTTTTACTGTATACCCCCTCTGTATGACATTTTTTTTTTGTATACTTTGCAAATAAATAATACAATTAATACACGTTATGACTATTATTTCTTTTTTTTTCGATAACAATGTGTGTAATCCATAATTGGAAACACTTTGTAACTCTGCACATATATATATAATAATTTTAGGCTATTTAATTTCGCGCATGCGCATAACACCCTTTTTTCCAAATTACAGCCCACTTTTTTTTTTGGTTATTATTTTTACAGGAATTTTTTTACAAATTGTAATGGTCAAACCAACTTTCTAAGTTAAAAATTATTAGTGTTATGAATTTTTTAATGTTTAATATTATTTTTTTTAAATTTTTGAACTATTCACAAATTTGATGATTTAAATTATTTTTCCCCTCTATAATATGATAGTAATACTTTTAGTACCTACTTTTGGGAGGATTATTGCTTTATCTTACCTTACTTTTTTCCCATGTAATAATTTGTCTCCCTAGTTAATTAAAAAAAAATAATTTTTTTTTTAATTTTAATTTTTTTAGTTGGTTCAAATTACATTAATTTATCTTATGAATTATTCAAATTGTTCTCCATTATGAATTACGCATGCTTCTGCTTTCCGCAGAAATTCTCAATTTGTTGCAATTGAAATTTGTTCTTCAGTAAGCTGATTATAATGTATACATACCGCATTTATTTTATCTTTCAAATGCATAAGTCTAGTAGGTGAGTCTGCATAGACGACAGTTTTGAGATATCCACACAAAAAGTAGTCTAGTGGTATAAGATCTGGGGATTGAGGTGGCCATTGTATTATTCCATAAGTTCCTATCCAACAATTTTCAAAATTTCCATTTAAATAATTCCTCACAACTGTTGCATTATGTGCTGGGGCTCCATCTTCAGGCAAGAGGAATATCGTGTAGTATGATCGGTAACCCAATCAATAGAAATTCTAGATATCGTCTTCCATTTTAATGTACCATTGTAGAAATAAGGTACCGACAATTTACCTCCAATCAAACAGCACCAAACATTTGTTCCCCTGGCACATTGGTTATTTGTTTCAATAACCAAATGGGGATTTTGACTGTCCCAACACCGATTATTTTGTTTATTTATAATACCATTATTTATAAATTTAGACTCATCTGCCCACAATATGTAATTTAAAATTTTAGTACTGTTTTCTAATTCAGTAATCAGTCAAGAAATAAACATAATCCTACGTTCAGCGTCACCTTAACGTGGTGCAACTATTTCAACTAATATCTAACATTTAAAAATCCATAACTCAGGAAGTTAGTTTAACGATTAAAATTTATAAAAAAAAATACCTGTCAAAATAATTACCAGAACAAAAGGGGGGATTGTCATTAAAAAAAAAAAGTTGTTATGCACATGCGCGAAATTAAATGGCCTAAAATTATTTTAATTTGTGTAATAAGTGTAAGACAAAGTTTGTTAGACATCTAAAAAAAGAAAATTTAAATATATTTAATATGTTCAGAGTTACAAAGTGTTTCTAACTATCGATTACACACTCTATATATGGTATATGCAATATTATATATCATTTATATGTACTTATGTTGATAAAAATATGAAATAATTAGTGAATATTTTAAAATGAATACGAAATCCCAATATATAAATTATAACCTATGCATTCATATATTGTGCATTTAAATAAATAATAAAATAATTAAGTAGTATAGTAAACCACCTTATTATTATGGTCTGATTTTGAAATTAAAAATATTTTTTACATATGGTTTCATAGTAATGTGTTAGATTATGCGAACGTAAATTCAACAATGAGAACCAATTAGAATACCTAGGCTACAAATAAAATTTATTGTACTTCGTCATAAAGAATGAAGTATGAAATTTATAATAATAATATATAAGTACACGTATGTTGTTTTTAATTAATGTTAATTAATTTTTTTTATTCCTCCTATGATTTTTTCAGATAATTAAATTTAACAATAAACCTTTTATATCTAAAGGCATCATATACGTATAAGATCATTAATATTTATTATAGTCGCACAATATAATGAAATAAATATCAGAATGTTATTTTTTTTTGATGATAGTTGTTCAAGAATCCGTACTGGTAAAAAAAAACTACCATTTTGCGACCGTAAAAAATGTTAAGGTAGTCACAAATATGTAATCGCAGTGGCAACGAATTAATAACCAGCGTTCGCAAGACTCGTTGCGATCACAAATATCGGTCGATACGCGATCGAACCCGGTACTGACGTGACGCGTTTACGAGTCAGTTGCGCGCGGCGTTGTGATCGATATCGGTACGTGTTCGGGCGCATGTAAATTTCGTTCAAATTTAACTACATGTAAAGAAACATACATGTAAATTCCGTCCATAAAAAAATGGTAGTTAATAAACACAACCTACATATATCTTATGTTTACAAATGTCTAATACTAAAAGTGTATTTCCACGTTATGGTTCTATAAATTGACCCATAATAGCATATAAGACCCTAGGACGTATATTGAATACAATTTATAATATTTCTATCTGATATTTCCAATTATAAGATCCACATTATGTGGAAAAGCTGATAAGATATGACATTGTTTTATATTATACAATATATTTATATTATACAATTTGTATATTTTACAACAATTGTCGTCTGAGATATGAGTGTTTCGTGTTCGTTCGAACATTTTGTGACTTCCAAAACTATAACACGCCGCATTGCGAACTGTACGGTCGCATCGTACAGTCATGGGGAACGCTTAGTTTAAAAATATTTATTTTTCCAGGCGAAATTTATAAATCTATTTTTGTATCTGCATATTTTTGCGGGCGGAATTCATCATAGACATTTTAACCTATTCGTTTCGGACGGAATTTACAATACCCCACGCATTCGGTGTTCAACGCGCACGTTGTCACACGTGCACCGCGCGCGCCGTTACGCATAATCACGGGTATGGGTTGCAAATAGAGTCTAAACATTGGGGATGTTGAAATCTCTGAAAATAAAATCGAATTTAATGGTATTTTACTGTAATAATATATATAAATAATATAATAGATTATATAGATCTGAAGAAAAAAAAACAAGAGTGCTACATTTGAACTCGGGGGTGCTAAAAACCCTATTGTGTCAATGACTGTGAGGCATTTTTGACGCGCATCGTCGTTACAATTTCGCTCGGCTGAAACGGACAACCCCATTTGGAATAGTCTGATTTTTTTCCCGATGGCATTTCGCACGCGGCCGCGGATTCGGGATGTGTCGCGTCTTCGTTTCCGGACGTTTCATGGTACTCGCCCGGAGCGAATCCATTGTTACGCAGCCCGAAATCACCTACGCATGCCAACCCATGTATTCTATCATCACACGAGTTCGATAAGACCAATGTCTAAAATGTGTCGTTTTGATGCGTACGAACAAAAAATACCGTCGTGAAAACTGTACGCGGAAAGAACTCACAGCCACTTGGATAGTTTCTAGATTCCGTTTCTTAGATGATCCATATGTGTTCTTATAGCATTCCGCATCCGTTAGAATCCGACCCTGGTTGTGAAAATATATTTCAAGCGATCCCGGTCACGTTAGGATAACGTGATGCAATGTTAAATTTAGAGAACAAATCGAATGCACATCGTGCTTAACGTGCACGATATTAATGTTGGGAAATATTCGATGTACATCGGTGACTTTTTAATGTACGTATAGATATGAATACTTATCGAACTAATAACAATAATTTTACTCTTTACTTTCTATAAATAAGACAGCTCTATAAAATTAGGCACTCAAGATTTTTCATTAACGTAAGTTTATGATAAAAAAAATAATATATATATATATATATATTACAGGAATGTGACACTTGAAAAATATTACAATATAAAAAGTTATTGATGTGCATGAATAATATAGTGAGGCATCAAGTACAAAAAAAAAAAAAAAAACTACATTGTGGGTTATAACCTAATATTGGGTCGTAAAAATACAAAGCTTAATAATATTTTCTTAGATTTCGTCAAAAATCCACACTGAATTGTACACCACATCAGCAGAGAAATTAAAGGCTTAGGCTTAGGTTATCCTTTGCTCGTGTCGTGTAATATTTTGCAATATTTTCGTTGTATTTGGCCAATCCACGAGGAAAATATCACCCTCGTTGATTGATTCCGGACTCGTATTAGATTCTGGGTTCAGGCTATTGATACATACTTTTATTTATTTATGAAACTGTATATGCTTTATTGAAGACATTTCATCCCTCTATCGCACTACAGTGGTGTTTTATTACGGTACAGGTCATATTGGATCGATCCAATTATGATGAGAATGACAGAATACTGATATTTATTACGTTGAATGTCTATCTTTTTACATTGTTATTTCCAGTTAATTTCATTGAAAAATCGATATTATTATCGATATGCTCTCTAGTGATATTAGCTGAGAAGTATAACAATAGTATACGAACTTGTTGAATTGCGATTTCAGTACTTTATTTTTAGTTCAGTAATTGTTCACATAAACACTGATTTTATTTTAGGTTTTTTACGAACCGTTTACAATTAAAATGCAAAATCACAAAGTACATTCAATGAATAAAATTAAAATTTTTTTTATTACAGATTTAAGTTAAATTATACTCGTGATTAAACTTATTAAATTATACAATAATATTTATTTAATGTATTATTTAACTATGCATAATTATTTATATTTCAAATTATTATATTTTTGATTTGAAACATAGAGTAACTGGATAAAGGCAACAATTTTCCCAAAGTGGATTAGAGTAAATATGTATTTTGCAGACGATAAGGGATTTAAAAAGGAAAATAATTAGATTGATGATTAGTGTCAGATGGGAAAAAAAAATAAACATTATCAAGTTTGATGATTAAATTAATAGCAAATTATGTATCTATATATAACAAAATTTTTAAAATGTTGGAATTTTAAATCTTGTGATTTAACTTACCTTCGGAAACAAAAACATAAACATAAGCGGGTTCTGCGTTTGCAGCTTGACATGTGTAATTGCCACTATCGGTGTCAATGACATCATGTATGGTCAGCCTGCTGGAACTACGGCCTCCCTTTTCTGAGTTGACTACAATACCGCCTCTGCTATTGTCATAGTTGATCATCTTTTCATTATGATACCAGAACACATATTGTGGAGGTTGAGGACTCTGAAATAAAAATTGTTGATACGTAAAATTAAAATTACTTCTAAGAAAAAAAAAATACCAATAGTTTATTTTTGTTTAACGTATAAATATGGATAATAATAAATATAGGTTAAAATAATGGAAGAAAATAAGAAAACCGTATATGGAAAATTACAGTACATTTATGGTTAAATTTAATATTAAAATCTATTAATTTATGTAACTGTTAAAAAATTTAAAAGTATTTTTAGTATGTATTCTACATTAATATAATTCAAAAATTGAAGTATGATAATCCTAGTATGAATGAGGAACAATATATTTATGTAGCACAATTTATATGATACTGTAAAACATTTTTTGTTTTTTATTTTTATTTTGCTGAATTATACTAAATCTCCTTTCCTTGCTAACATCGAGTTTAACAAATTTGTTAAATTTATTTTTGAATGCTAAGTGGATGCTATTTACTATTTATTGTTTTTACATAGTATATTATATAGATGTATGTTGAACGTTATTATTTTGCGGGTAGTAAAACTAGTTTTATATATTACTATTCCTAATTATTTTTTTTCAAGCTTCGTATTGTGGATTTGATTTTAAAAATGTAATTATTTGATACACTTCAATGGTTTATTTCAACAGGTTTATACTTGTTTGAATTGGACTATATAGTAAGAATAAATGAATCATTGGCATATGAAAATCAGCTTCAAAATGGTAATATAAATAAAACCATTGATGATGTATTCAATAAATATTAATAAATAATATTAAAATTCATTATTATTACCAATTACATAATTGCATATAATAATTGATGAAATAATTTGGTAACACGGCGTATTGGTTATGCGATTTCGGTACATTTTTGTGACATTATTTCTTCAGTTTTACGAAATGATTTTACAAAATGAAAATGTAAAATTTAATAATATATTATTGATTTAATTTATTAAGCTCACCATACTAATATAAAAATAATAATTTTTCTTAACTTTATAAAATTATTGAAAAATATTTTACTTAATTTATAACTTAATAAACGTCAATTATATATAACTAACTGACCTGACACGGTGTTGACCGTATGTTAGTTTATTTTTTAGCATTTTCGTAGGCCGTGTGTCAGTGTTTAATTTTTATAGCACTAATAGCTGACCCGACAAACGCTGTTTTATCATATAAATTATTTTAGAGAATATTTTGCTAAAAAAAAAAAAAAAATAACTAATTTAGTATAGGTGTGTAAGGATGTGATATATAAGTGGAAGAGATATAGAATTCTGTGAACGGTGACGAAATATGAAAATGAAAAATATCAAGCATTTATTTTTTTAATTATTTATGAAAATTGATCCTTTAAAATTATATATATCACTAACTATGACAATATTAGTAAAAAACAATATCAATCCCTCAATGCAACAGAGTGTAAAATATTTTTTGTTATCCTATCTTTCTCCAACACAAACAAATTGGATGGTTCGAGAGTACGCCACATATAATTGTCCGAGTGAAAAACATGATGTGCACAAATCTAAGCCAGAGACAGACATCGTTTGGCCTTGAGACTTACTGATAGTCATTGCAAATGCCAATTTAATTGGAAATTGAAGACTTTAAATTGTATTGGTACATCTGTGAGTATAATAGGGATTTGCGGTAATAATATATTTTCACCTCAGAATTTTCCATTTAAAATGAAGGCTTCGATAATACTTTTCGTTATTTTTTTAATGACTTATCGCGTGCCGTTGCACAACCGTGGTGAGTTTATATTACGAAACAAAATAACCGGAGATCCAACCTTCAGTTGTAAATTATGCACTGGCTTGCCTGGTAAATCTAATGAGTTTAAAAACTCTGTTGGATATTTTACAGCTTCAGTAGCATCACAAACTGTATCAATAGATTTGTATGACACAAAGTATCCTGGTAACAAATGTTGTATCTTGAGATTCAATTCGTTGACGTCCACATTTTTTGCTGCTAAAATTGCTCTTTCTGCTACCCACTCGTGATTTGTGTATTGTCTGTGTACATTGAGAAATATCTGGTCAATAAGAGCATCTTGCGAATCAATGATTGTGCAGAAATTGGTCGGTAATTGTATGTGTTCCGTTTCATCTGTAGTAACTTTCCCATCACCGATATCCGATATCTAACAATTATATTGAGAATCTTCTGTACGCAGCTTTTTTTGATTAAATCGTAAGTATCGTAATCGTTCGCTCTCTATCTTTACATACATATTGACCATAAATTGTTGACAAAGCTCACGACATCGTAGAATAACGTTGTTCTTATCGCATTTAATCATCAACTGTTATGCATAATAATCCTTTAAACTAATATTCTTGTTTATTTTAGTACCTGATGCGGGATATTGTTGTTTGATATTTATGTAATACCCGTCATTTAATACCAAAAATAAAAATTACAGTTTTTAAATAGGTTTTAATAGTTATTTAATAGTATCATTTAATAATTAATTTTCAATTGCGCAGTTTTTGACCGGGTCAAAAATTATTAAATTAAACTACGATTTATTAAACAATAGCATTTAGGAGTATAGAAAATAGATAAAAATCTATTTGCAGACCTATCAAATGTATATACAAAATTCATTAAAATCGATCAAGCCGTTTTGGAAGGGTCTGGTAACAAACACTGTGACACAAGACTTATATATATAGATTAGATTCATTGATTACTTATATTTATAGGATGTAAATATTATTATTAAAGCACCTCCATATAGACTACATTAGTTGTTCTTTCGTTTAGGGAATAACTAGTCTTGTAGATGAACTAACTCTCGAGCGTACCACATAAAACTGCCCATGTGTAAAGCAGTCATCACTCAAATTAATCCCTGCTATCATTAAATATATAATATATATATATTATATAGTAGCTTTATAAAATGTAAACAAACTTTTAAAAAACCTTTTTTAGCCCCTTAGAGTACGAATTTTGAAAAATCCTTTCTTAGTACTCCCTACATTGCTTCAGGAACCTCTGTACAAAATTTCAAGTCTCTAGACCCAGCAGTTCTATCTGGGCGTTGATGAGTGAATAGGAACAGTCTCCTATATGTAAATAGATAAATATATAAATAGGTTATAAGTAAAAATAAATAAATGCTGGATTATTATTATATTTATAATTTACGATCAACTTGAAATTATAAATTCATCGTCAAGTATGTACAAATTCAATTAAATCGTGACTAGTCAAAATTACAAAGTATTTATGCGTAAAAATACTCCAGGCTAAGCATTTATTAATTTCTATATATAAACTATTTATTTTTCTACGATTTACGAGCATTGATCATTTACTAAATTTTATTTTATTTTTATTATTCTATTACGAACAATGTATTGCGAGTTGTTTTATTCGATATAGCATCATGTTGTTTGAGATATCATAACGTTATCAGATATTTCAATTTATTTTACATTGAATACAATAGACACTTACTTTTTCGATGATGCAAAGAAGATTTATTATGCTCCCCATATCCACATGGAGTTCACTTGGCCCATCGATGTGGACTTCTGGAACAACGATGTGAAGATTGATAAATGATGACATTATCCCAGTTCCAGTGGATATCTGGAAAAGCCAATACATTTTCTAATAATTCATGTTCAGATATTTGAGAGATAAACATATTTATTTGAAAAAAATACTAGTTATACAATAATAATTTCTGTCTACAACTATACATATGTAATTCACCTAACCGGAAACGGTCGTAGTCGTAGATTTGTATGTACATAAAATATATATATATATATATATATATATATATATAGAATGTCTCAATTCAATTTCAAAAATGTGTGTTAAAAGATTAACTAACTGAAAAATAAGATATATATTAGGTATGTATAATGTATTATTTATTTTTAATTTAAATTTAATTTAATTTTAAATTTTAATTAATTTTAATAGTTTTGTTAGCGAATTACTGACAATTGATGATTATCTATTTTTATTTATTAATTTATATATTACTGTGTGAAGCTTTGTTGTCAGCATGTATAGATATTTGCATTTACAGTTTCGTGATTTCGTGAATTGGTAGTAAAACTATGCATTGAAAAATGTTAACTACGGATGAGCTCAGATTCCGATCTGACACCGAAGGATCATACATTTTAGTATATTTAATAAGGAATAACTGTAATAAAAGATAGTCACAAATGACGCAAATTGGAAAAAATAAATTAGCTATACTTTGTTTATATTTACAATGCCTAGATAATAATAAATTAACAATAAGTTATTATTAAGAAAATAATATACTACTTAAGTGCAATATTACTTTTGACATATTATCCAATAACGTTTTTTTTTTTTTTTTAAAATTCGAAATGTGTACCAAAAAATATATTTCTTTATTAATTGAATAGATCCAATTTAATTTTATACTTTCACGAAGTTTTTTGAATAAAAATGTTAGAGTATTATACTAGTATTATATATATAGTAGTATTATATAGTCAATACGAGTAAATATGTTTTATACTAGAATTTGTATTGCATCGATTATATTCGATTTGAAAGATTGTGTTAAAATATATTAGTAGATTATATAGTTTTTGGAGGAGAGTAAACGGGGCTATTTCAATTTTTATAAACGTTGTTACATAATGTTCATATTCGTGTGGTTTAAATGTTAGACAACGATTTTTTTCGTCCGTCCGTAAAATATTTGTGATTGAAAATATTCTTTTTATTACTGCATTTGTACACAAAGGTACAGTGAATGTATATTTCCTTTTAGGCATTTTAAAAAAAACAATAAAAGTGATAATACTAACGACTCACATTAATTTAAATAAAAATAACTGATACACAGTGGCTATGACACAAGATCGTTGCAATGTACACACGTTACTGCACGACTATGTTCGATTTTTCGATTAATATAACTAATATACCTATTATAACGAATATCATTGATTATGAATAGTACTGTATATTGGTAAACTATTCATATTTAATATCGATTTCGTTAGAAGTCAGGCACATGAGTTTGTAGTACATATATATACTATATGACAAGTCTTAATTTTTTTCTTTTACTCTCGGTTTACAATTTGTATGGAAGAAACGGGATTAAAACGAGACCCTATTCTAAAAATGGAACAAAATGCCCCATTCAAAGATTTTCACGATAACGGGACATAATGATAAAAAAAGGACAATCCTATTTTAAACGGGACGTATGGTCACCCTAGTGTACACCAAATTAACATTAAATGTGAAAAAAATTGTTTACACGAAATAAAAATATTGATATTTAAAATAATGAAATATAAATTGTATCGTTTTAAACTTATGTATTAAGGAATTCTAATTAAAATAAAACTATCATATACATAGATTATATTAAAAATATTTTCGTTTAACATTATCTTTATTATTGTATGCTGTATCACAATACATTAAAATATATGAATAGTGAGCCATCATAATACATGAAGGTTGAGAAAAATTTAAAATTAATATACTCTTATTTTGTAAAATAATTATATAAATAACATAAAATTATATTAAATATTTATATATTACAAAATCAAATACATAAAAATATAATTTTTATAGCATTTTTAGCCAATGCTAAGTACATTTGAGTACGGACGAACGGAATATTACTTCGTCGTAATATTGGTACTATCCGGATATAGTCAGATATTTTAAACTCCGAATAAAATCAATTCAGATATTCGTAATCCGAATCCAATTACGTATATTGTTTACACGCGCATGTATCTAATATTCAAATATTTTTATTAATATAATATTCATAAAATGTACTCAAAAATATTTAGGACATAAATGGTTACGCACATATTAAAAGAAGTATTAACTCTGTAAAAATTATGGTAAGTACTAACAAAATGTATATTAGATAATTAACAGGGCATAATAATAAATGTATAGATATTATATTAGACAATAAACAACAAAGTTGATAAAAACAGTTGTACGTTGAAAAATGGGTATATTAAATCATAAATATTAATTTATTTTTCTTTAAGAAAACCAGAGTGGAAACATTTTTCTCATTTAATTTTTGCGTTTTGATATAAAAATGTTCCTGGCTGTAGAAAAAAATTTAAATTAATACAATCGCTAAATTCGTGATTATGATTGGACTTTAAGCGTTGGTATACGCGAGCAGTATGATTGTGATATTTGATTTACAACTATTATAATTTTATGTTTTTTTTTTTTATTATTTGTATTTATATTAGTAAATTATCACATTGCAATGCATAAATCCCGAAATCTCATGTGATTTATTTCATAAATCACGATAAAATAAATATCTTGATATCTTTTTGATGAACATTTGAATTACAGAAATCTGAATATTCAAGTAGGTAGGCATTTTTAGATTATCCGTAATATTTGGATTTTACAATTTTAATTTGTCCAGATATTACGTTTTGGCTATCCAAATATTAATAAAATCCGAATAAATGTCCCAACACTCCATCGACGGACTATGAATGGGCGACTTCAAGTTATTTGAATATCAGATATTTAAAACCTAGGAAGTTGAGAAGCGAAAAAAAAATAAACTACGATAATAGAATAAAATGCTCAGGACACGACGGATACAGCTGCATTGCGATTTCACGAATTCAATATTTAAATAAACGAGATCAACAACTGATAAGAATGTTATTATCAATAGTCTACCATCGATTATGTTATTAGATAGAAAATTATAAATAAACGTCATATATGTATATATATATATATATATATATATATATACTCTAAATAGTTACCTGATTTGTTTGAAATACGGTAATAATGTTAAAACAACATAATCGTATACAACTGTAACATAATTTTATGCATTTTGTATGATATACAGCACTTTTAAGGCAATAGGAAGTCTTATTCCACGCACTTACACTTAACCGTCGTGCTCTGGTATTAGCGGTGAACGGAGATTTCGCGTAAAATAAATAAAGGAAATGGGACAGGAGTTTCAGACGTTTTTATGTCCGACGTGTAACACGATGAAAAACCTCGAGAGTGAGTATAGTGACAGGCGAAAACAGTGGCTAATATAACCCTTCGGGATTACAGTCGTATACAACACTACAACTACTACTACTACTACTGTTGTTACTTTCATGAACTATTTTCTCGAATCCAACAAAATTGACACGAATTACAGAGCTTACGGAAAACGCGTAAATCCTCGTTTTAGAATTCAAAATGTAGCGGTCGGTTATCGTTCGGAAATAGTTCAGATTTAACACAAGTTTTCAGGTGTAAACCAACGTTTTTAGAGATCACGAACAATCAACGCCTACGCACATACTCGCTAATCTCTCATACACATTATATCATGCACGTAGAAAAATAATTGTATTTTCATGTTTACAGACACGTATGATTAATTTTAGGCACGTAACACTGTTAATAATTATAATACGAAAAATCCAGAAACAATTATCGATTATTTTATTATTAGCTGACATTGTTGAAAGATTTCAGACACACAAAGACTAACGTTTATTCTCTTTTTATTGCGATTTAAAATTGTTTAATATTTCAGAACATAAAAATATTATACAATTGTGCTTCCACGTTTTTTAAGAATATTTAAAAGGTTTATTTTTCATATAGAAGCTCAATCTCGTTGGAGTATTTCAACAATTTTGTTAGTCAAAGGTTTATTGTAACTGATAGTATACATCATCAGAGTTTGCCTATGTATGCAACAAACGACGTTTGTCATTTCCGAAGCAGACGAGTACGATTTCCATCAATCATTTGTTAAAAATATGTTATTCAATTGAAATTCGATCAGAATAAGATAGATAATCGAAACGCGAAAAAAACGTCAAACCCAATGGAGATGTATCATATGAGATATAGTACAAAGATAAACCGATTTTATTTTTTACGTGATGAATAAAAATAAACGAGGAAATTTTTGAAACTATTCAATCCGTTACACTCGTTCTCGATTTTGATCTTATTTACTCAGAGTTAACGTTTTTAAATATACACATAAAATAAAAAAAAATAGTATTTTGTGTTGATAACCAAATACATTAATATATAAAATGATACCTACTATACTCGTATAATTATTTTATATTAATTTATATGTTTTTATATAAAAAATATTTAAGTATTAGTATTTTAAACTAATTATTTTTATAATATTTTTAATTACTTTTGTTCGGAATTTCGAATCAAAAGTTGAATATTATATAAATTTGAACAATTAATTAAAATCCAAATGAATATTAAAATATTTTTTCTCACTAACTCAATCGTTTAATATAAAACTTCGATGTAGCAGATTTAAATAAAATATTATTACAATTTATTCTACGTAATTGTTCGTTATACATTTACAACTAAATAAACAAATAATTTGAGTCCAGAACGTATTTTAATTAAGTGTCTTGTTAAATAAAATTTCAATATTATAGTCGTTAAAAAAGTTTAAAATACTCATAATACCGCGAGGAGTACCTTTTTACGAATAAAATGAATAATCATTTTAATAATTAAAATTGCATTAAAAAATTCACTTCACGAAATTCGTTACATTTTATTAAGTC